GCGCCGCTACGCGAAGAATCGGCACTGGAAAGTAAGAGGAGGCCCCCCCCCAGGGATACGTCGAAGAACTCGCCGAGATCTGCATTAAATCTCACGCCGGTTTACTTAGAAGTGGAAACCATCCGCATCGCGTTGAACTGCCAAATATTTTATGTTTAAACAACAAAGCAAGAGTAGTACGGCATATTTTTTAAAGTAATCATTTAAAAGAAACCTGGTATCCAATTTTTAAGATTGTAATCGATTTGATTGCCTGTAAGTAAGTTAAAGTTAAATTAATTTATGTAAATTAATCGATTTTTTTTTCTTCTCTCATCATAAATCAAGATTTTTTTCTAATGTAATTATTTGATGTGTCAATTGGATCTTATCGATACTATTATCGATTACTATATTCACACGTATATTAATCGTTATATAAACGCAGGTTCCTCGTGGAACTGTTTGATACATGTCGACGCACCTTGCAGTGGCAATGGCCCTTACATCGTTTCACCTGCAAATGACATTAAGCGACCCGCATCTTTGTCTTATCTTACACCTTCGTGAAACAATCAACTCTGCTACCCTTCTACACTCCAGGCGGCTGTGTTGAATTTTTCATCCAACGACCGTTGTCACCGCGTTATTTCCATCATTGGACTTCCACTTTATCGTCAAACCTGCCGAGAGGCGTAACCTGGAGGAACGAGGTTCCCTTCGGTGCAACCTTCGCAAAATTTTCGTTTGGAATACGTAGGCACGTGCGTGCACGCACGGAGACCTCCCGCGGAGTACTTGACGACTGATAAAAATGTCCCTACTTGATTCCGCCTCTCTGCAAGGAGTCTCTACCTCCCCCCCCCCCCCCCCCACGCCCGCCTTTAACTCGTCTTATTTGGTACGGACGAATGACGAAGGACGCACGAGATTACTGCGCTGCTGCCCGTCGAGAGACGCGTCCCGAGTGCGGTAGGTACCCCGCAAGAGTCAGTCCGCTGGATGATAAAATGACGGGGGATGAGACCGGACCGCATGTGATGTGCGGACACTATCCTCGTTATGCTCGCGAGCAGCATGCGCCGCATCAGTGAATAATGAGTCCTGCGGAATTTCAGTGCAGAAATCCGTGACTTTTCAACGTAACGTCAGTCCACTCGGAATTCTCGGAAATAAGGACATAAGGATAATTCGCAGTAGGAAGAAGTTGTCAATTAATTTTCTTAGATACACCTACGGATAAGTCAACGGACAATAATAACAAAATTTACAAGTTTTTCACCAACCCCCTTTATACCACTTTTATAAGGAAAAGATCAAAAAATGTTTTAAAAAAGACTCCTTAATACACATGGCGTATAAAGGGATTAATAATCTTACGGGGTTCATCAGGGGTCATAAAGATGTTCGTCCCAAGTTATCTTATACAGACGTTGTATATAAGATTGATTGTCGAGATATAAGATTGATTGTGAAGCATCATATGTGGGCCAAACAGGTAGATGTTTGAAGACACGCATAAATGAACATAAAAATCACATAAATTGGAACACAGCATTCCATAATAACAGAACACAGAATCAGTT